AAAGAGTGTGTCTCCCCTCTTCTCTTCAAGTTTATTATTATTTTAAACTTTCGTAAAGTACACTGCTAGTCAGAGACCCAGCGGCACTAGGATCCGGCACGGGGGTGGACAGCGAGACCTGCAGCAGGTCCAGCCTGCCAGCCCAGACAGGGATCAGTGAACCGCTGGACACGCTGGCCTGAGCAAACACGAGCGGAGTGAGCCAGCTTCAGAGGACCAGAAAGGCACGTGGCACCCAGCCGGACAAGGGGCAAGTTTCAAAGGCACAGCATGAGGCATGAGACCTCTGTCCTCTCCTGTGATGTTGGAGGTCTCCCTGTACCTCTTGTGGATCACATGTCCATTGCTGCCCCTTGTACTAGCGGGCAGTTTCCAGCACCCTCGCAGGAGGGGCAGCAAGGAAAGTGTGCAACCTGCTTTCTTAGCTCCTATAAAGCCATGTAGAAGCAAAGAGCAGGCTAAGGCACAGACTGCAGCAAGCCAGAGAGAAGGCAGAAAGCTGCCGTGGATCATTCATCCAAAAGCAACATGACCCAACTGCTTTGTCAGGTACACTGCCAAGGGCAACACAGCCTGCCAGCTGCTCAGAAAGACTTTGGGGCAGTTGGTCCCTGCATTGCCAAAGCCAGCCAGAGGACAAACCGATACGAGGGAAAAAGGGCTGTCTGGGGACGGTCAGTGGGCATGGAATTAGCACAGGCAAATCTGTGACAATAGGGGAGTTCCCCGAGTGCAGGGGCCAGGTTTGATTGCAAGAGCAAAAAATCTAAATAAACAAGCTCTGAAGTCTCACCCTGGGGCTGCCCTCACATGCGACTGTTCGACAGGAGCAGCTGGTGGTGGCTGGGGAAGCAGCACGTGGCAGGGTGGCAAAGAATGCTATTTTCTGTGCTGGTGCTTCTTAGAAAGAAGAGTGATTCTCAGCCCCTTTGAAAGTCCTCCGGAGCTTCACTTGCCCTGGTGGAGCCTGGCAGGGAACTGTGCCCTCTCCACGAGACAGTTAAGACAAAAGCAACAGCAGCAAGCAGGAAAAGGCTGGTATTATGCAAAGTGGCCCCACAGGGCTAATAGCAAAGCTTGTCCTCCCAAGCAATGCCTCCTGCATAGCCCGTATCGATCAAGATGACCTGGCAGAGTTCCTCCGAGAACTGAATCCATCACCACAAGAGAAAGTGAAAGGAGGAAGACACTCAGCCCCGCTCAGGGCAGACCCTAGACAGCAGCAGAAGCTAACCAAGCCCTTCAAAGAGAGAGGGACATCAGCAGGTACCTCTGTGCAGATGGTACCTGCTCAGGCTGGCAGTGTCCAGGGCTGAGAAAGGGAATCTCTGCCCTTCCAGCAAAGGCTCCCAGGAAATCCGGACTCCTTACAAAGCTGTAGCAGCAGAGCAAGTTGGCGCAGGCAGGAGCTCTCCGCTCATCTGGGCAGGATCAGTGGTTTTGCAGGCAGAGCCCACTTACATGTGCTCAGGGTGGTTCTGGAGACACTTGATGACATCAGTAACGGGTTTGCCCTCGTAGCAGATCTGATACACAGCTGTGAAGAGGGGGAACCTGTGGGCAGATGAACTAAGTCACCCCTTGCCCTGTCACCACAGCTGGCAGAGTCAGAGCACCTCAACTTCTGTTGTGACATGCAGGACCACTGGGCAGGAGCAGGTGGGACAGTGGCATGGTGCCTCATCCAACAGGCCATTCCTGCCCAGCTGGTTTGATGTGGGCAGTGCAGAGGTTCACCTGAACAGCAGAGACACTATGGGTGGGTTTCCCCTCCCACAGCTGCAGGAAAGATCCCAGCCCCACCCCAAAAGAGCAAACAAGGGAGATGAGAGCACTCACTTCTCCACTACGTTCTTGCTTTTAAGGATGCGATGCAGCTCAGCAGACGTCTGGGGACCCTGCAGCTTCTGCCCATTCAACATCTCCTTCTCCAGCTGCTCAATAGACTGAAACAACCCAACAGTGAGGGAGCTGGGCCCTGCAACCCCATCTGCTGCTGCACGTTCCTTCCCGGGAGCCAGGCTGCAGCACTCGGGGAGTGAAGGCAGGTTGCCACAGTTCTAATTGGGTGCGTCCTGCTGCCAGCTCAGCAGGTTGATGCAGATATCAACGTTGCCTGCTCCCTGCTCTGCTTACCTTTCCAGTCTTGGCAAAAGCCTCAGCCACTTTGCGGTTGCGGCCACCATAGCAGGTAGTGATGAGGTCAGCCACCCCGCAGCTCTCCAGGAAGGTGGAGGAGGTGACGGAGCCCTTACAGAAGAGTTTGGCGAAGCCAATCATCTCCATCAGTCCCAGACGGATCACGGCAGCCTTCGTGTTGTCTCCATAGCCGAGTCCATCACAGAAACCAGCTCCTACAGCCACAACATTCTGGAAAACAGCAGCAGCGTGGAGGGATCTGTTCCCAGCGGAGCTCAGGGTTTTGCTGTGTCCATAAACTGCCTATGTAATCCCAAGCACAGGCTCCTGCCTATGCCAGTGATCATCACCCCTCCAAGCAGCTGAACAGGACACATCCACAGTTCCCTCCGAAGTCTGGCCTTTGACCCAAAGGTCTCAGCACGCCACAGTGCGATATCCAGTGGGGTTCATTCAACTGGTAACCTCCTCCCCAGAGCTCCCTGCGGAGCCCTAGAGAACTGCAGGCTCTGCTAACCAAGACCTGCAAACCCCGGAGAGCGGCTCACCCACCTTGAGAGCCCCGCAGATCTCTACGGTGTCAGCTTCCTGCACCACCGTCACTCGGAAGTTTGGAGTCTGCATCAGCTCCTTCAGCGTCTGCCCATGCTGCATGTTCTTGCAGCCTGACGAGACAAAGAGAGAGGAAGAAAAATGATGGGGGAGACCCTAAGGTAGGACTGTGCTGCTTTTCTGCCTAGTGGTTGCGTTCCTGCAGCATAGCCCTTGCAGCTAGCGCAGCGAGAGGAACCTATTGCCCAACTGATGGACTTTGCTAAACATTTGCAGGTCCACAAAGTGCCAAGCACACACTGCCTGGCAGATGAGCAAGGTTCAACTTTGGAATTCCCAGAAGATGGGGATGATCCCTACTGCTGTGTCTAGCAAGACAGAAATGACATGCCTAGTAGATTAAAGGCATCTTCAAAGGTTGCAAATTTGGGTTTGGAGACTGCTGTTCTCCCTGTTCCTGCAGTGTCCTGCGCGAGAGCATTTCTGCATGCTCCCAGTGATAGCATGCTCTGCTTATACCTCTCCAGTCTCTGCAGCCTCCTGCACAGCATGGTTGCTTTTGTTTAAAATACAGACACTTTGAATCCCATAAATTCTAACACAGCAAACTGTTCTGTTGGTTTTGGCTGCTGTGCATGATTCACAAACAGTGTGGAGGATGTTAGGAACAGTCATCCGATGAACCTTCAAGCAGCTCTGGCTGGCAATAACATGAGATCCAGGTGAGCGTCCCTTGAAGCCCAAGGAAATGAAGGTAGGAACTCTTATTTCTAAAGGGCCTCTAGGTGTCCACCCCTTTAATTTGTGCCAGGCAGACTGCCTGATGCTCCGAGTCCATGCTGGCAGAAACTTTTAGACGCACAGCTCTGTTTTCAATGAAGCGAGCAATCGCATCGTAAACCCTGTGAATGAGTTCATCCAGCTCCTATGGAGTCTTACTGCCTCCACAGGAAAAAAGGGCCGGCTCACCCTAGGCAGCAGTAGTTTAAGCTGCACCATGCTCACCCCTTTGCCTCTTCCCGCTCGTCAGAAACGAAGGCTGCTAATGAGGAGGGATGTTGGCTCCTTACCGATGGTTGTTTCACAAAACTTCTCTTCTGCCACTTCATTAGCAATGTTGGCCCCCATGAGGACGCTCATCTCTATTCCCAGTTTTTCATGGATAATGTCTGAGATCAGCCTTAGCCCATCTGGTCCTTCGTCCACCCCCTGGGAGACAACCAGGGACAGAGATGAGCATCTGCCCCCCCTGGAGACCGGGCCCCACCTGCCCCAATCCCGCCATGCCCTGTGCTGCAATGCTCCGACTCTCATCCCAACAGCCCCCCCAGTGCTCTGTTGCACCCCACTCCTCACAGCGCTTGAAATCCCCCACATGCCCTCACCCTTCTCCTCCACCAATACACCTCCAAATCCCCACGAAGACTCTGCCCCCACTTCCCACTCTCCCCACACCCCTCCATAACCCTGGAGCCCAGTTTCTGCTCCAAAACCGCAGCATTCCCTTTGCAGCCTCTCCGAGCCAGGCTGCTTCCAGCAAAGCCCCCTTGGCCCAGCGCCCCAGCGAGCTGCCCGGGCAGCGCTCCTCCTGCTCACACCTTGATGAGCGACACCCCAACAGCATCTTTCTTCACGTGGCCCTTGAGCTGGTCACAGACTTTGCCGATAAACTGATGGGGCACCACAAACAGGAGGATGTCAGCCCCAGCACAGGCTTTCAGCAGGTCTGGCTCTGCTACCTGCAGAGAGTATGACTGTCACCAGGGACTTGCGTCTGTAGTTGTGCAGTGAATGTGTCCTGAATCCAGGACAAGGGGAGCAGGGACTTGAGAGCAACCGCTGGGGGCTTCCCTGTAAGGGAAGGAAGGGCACAAAGTCCCTGCCCCAAGGTCTCCTTCCAGGGCTGGCAGGGCAGAGGGGCTGGAGCAGAGCAGGGCAAAAGCAGCCTGAGCTGGTCCCACAAGGGTACTGCAAAGTCGGGGTCATTCTGGGAACCTGCTGAGGGGCTGAGCGTACAGTCATGGGGCAGCAGGCCCCGCGGGCTCTCTGCATGCTGCCGATGCCAGCTCGGAGACAGCCACATGGCCTCAAGCCCAGCCTGTGGGATGCCAGCGCAGGGGCAAAGGTGTGCAGCAAAAGCAGCCAATCTGCAGCTCATCCAAGCACAGATCAAGGTCACCGGGAGGCTGTAACTGAGTCCTGTGCAGCCCGGTGCATCCCCTACCTTCGCACACCCACTGTCCAGGACACCAGGGCTCCAGCAGCTCCCAGCACGGCTATTTATGACCTCTCACAGAGAGCCCGTCTGTCAGCACCGGACCTTGCGCTCAGCAGAGAGGCTGGCGGCGGGCCGCCACCACCCCCTC